TAACCGTTTCTTTATTGCTTTTACGAAGTACGTTCTGTTTAGAAAGTCCACTGCCTCTGATTTTATGATCAAATCTCAATGATTTGCCAGTTAGGCCATTAGCTCTCCTTCCTATCTGTGACTAGTGCTACTCACCATTGTGTCGGAATGATGTTCGGACACGGCCTGCTCGCTGAGGCGCCCTATTATTTCATCAGGTCATTCAACTCATAACAGAAGCCTTGGAAAACAGTGGCCCGGTAAATAAAACCGTTACTCAAAGATTGCAAGACGTTCCCTGAAAGGGTTAAAACTAATTGTTTAACACGTGTGAGTTAAATACCATGAAACACGAGCTAAGTACCAAATTTGGTAAATGTTTAGGGTCCGAAGAAACTTCGTGAGTGGTAATGATCTACAACCGAGTTTGAAAGGCACATACTCGTCAGAAATTCAACATTCAGCTTCGTATTTTTCTTTTTTTTAGGTACAGAAATGTACATTTGATGGTCTTAAGTCCTCTTGACGCAACGAAAGTGTTTTTCTATGTTTCTAGACTCTCTATTCCTGTCTTAGCTTAATTTTTTATAGATATTTTCGCCGCAACGTCATGGTGTCTAAAAAACAGAACACAATAAATGCTCCAGATTGTCATTCTTCCGCTTTCATATAAATCACCTTTTTCGTTTTTCGCCTAGGTATTCTGACACCATGACTCCCTATGGCCACAATTTACGCCCCTGTATCTTGATGGTTATCACGAAGATAGAAGAAAGCAAACCAGTACAGATTGAATGTTCCCTGGATAATTTCAAAACATCCTTATAGGCAAAACTGTTCATCTTCATATCCGTCATTAATGTGAGCAACTATTAAAACTGTAAGTTTTACACATGCGTATGGCCGCCTTCTAGATTGAAACGTTGCTGCCAAGGGTAAACCTGGAAACCTTTGTGACATTTGTAAATTGGTTGGTCATTGAAATGGCCGAGTGTTTCTACTTAAATCGATCATAGAAAGTTCTACACACAGACCTGTAAAAATGGCTGAACAAGCAGGTCACAGGGTATCCATTCACAGCCCCTGACTGTAACAAATAATTAGAACAGCGATTTAAGTACGCACAGTGATATTTATCGCGTTTATCGTCTCCCAAAGAAGAGGAGGAAGAAGAGGGGATGGGTTTGTGGACTAAACTATATTTTGACTGATGTCTCGGAAATCTTCTCGCTTCCATCGTCAGAGCATAATAGTTGCTGCGTCTGGTGGTCTTTTGAAGCAACTAAAATACTCTGACGTTGGAAGCGAGAAGCGTTCCACAAAGTCAGTTCAAATATAATTTGGTCCACGAACCCGCCCCCTCTTCTTTGGGCGACGATGAACGCGGTAGCATACCCGGAACCCGAATCTTTAGGCATATTAATAGTGATATTTGTATGCGAATTTTCTGTCAGCCTACAGGCATAAGAAAACGCCAGTTACTACAGTCAAACTTGCCTTGTGCCTCCTTTGCTAGACCATAGTACTCGTAGGCTCTCGCCAGCTTCAATCCACCGTCGTCCTTGATGCGCCTCGCCACGATCAGAGCGTAATGGAAGAAATGCTCCGTTAGCCAGAGGTCATCAGGGAAGTCCCGAAAGTATTTGGCTATTTTAACGTAGCATGAGTACACCGTGTGGTCATCTCGTCTGCGGGCAGCGGCTTCGGCCTTTGCCAAGTAGTCGCGTAACAAGTGCACCTTTTCGGGCTGCTCGGAAATAGGTGGGATCGTCCAGAGCACCGAATCGGGACCCGCAATGCGTCGTTGTTCCATTTGCTGTGTGTGTACTTGGAAGAGCTCCGTAAATGCATAGTGATAACCATTTTCCAACAGGTCATGGCAGAGTGTTTCGTAGAATGGAAGCTGGAACCTGCAGGGCAGAGTAATAGCTGATCGTGTTGCCTAACGAAAAGAGTTTATGGTATTTATGACGTCATAAAAGCCTGCAAATTTCGTCGCGTTAGCCTAGGTCGAGTTGCCAGCTTCCATAAACAGAATGGCACCTAGTACCTTTTCCCGGGTTAAACAGAAGAGACAAGCGGGCGACTGATTGGCTGCATTTTCGACGTCAAAAAAGTTGCAAAAAATACGTGCATTAAACAATTTCACAGCTGCATTACTCTGCAGACGGCGAAAACAGCTTTAGTTTTGCACAGTACTTTCTGGTATGTCAGTGAATGGGTCCTGCAAATGATGAATACACTAACCTTTCGTTGAGTCAGTTCCACTTAGATTAATTTATTATCCAATTGGCTAAAAAATTGCGATCAATTTGACACGTTTAGAGTGACATGAAGAGCTACGGCACGCTTATGGCTAATTGCTGTCGGTTTACAACGTCAGGAGACTATGTTAGGTTCCCCAGTGTGCAGTGCGATACACCCAACCGTTTGTGGTTACGTGGTGAAAGCCAAATCCACATCCGCGACTGTGATAAAGTTGCAGTTAATCGATTCTGACGAAATAAAAAATGCAATTTTAGCTATTTATCTGGCTGAAGGGTCATCAGACTTAAGCGGTAAGATTTTTGTTCTAGTGTGCAAATTTCATATACTGGCCCGAGAGGGACTTCAGTATTTTCTGTTCCGCCTTCTGTCCGATAAGCAGCGATTAGATAGGGCATTCGAAATATCTTAGACTTGGTGTGCACATGACTCAATTTCAGATTTTTGACCGTTTTAAGCATTGTTCAAGTACCCAGTTAGAATTTTTTTGCATATCAACTGGATGTTAAACGGAAAAAACGTTACTCGGCCAGAAAAACTATTAATCTTACGGATTAACCTGGCAAGAGCTGAATACGCAAAGGAGTGTCGAACTTCAAAGGTGGACGTAGAGAGATGGACTGAATGCCTGTTGTTAGCGGTGAGATCCACTGTGTGCTTCCCAGCACAGTGGGCGCAAGAGCGGTTACATAGGCTGGAATTAGTTTGTGGCAATAGCAGTCTTGCGCTGCAGCTAACGCACTCTTTTCCTTTTATCTACCAGGGCTTGGTGTCAAAACAGTGTCAAGAAGACCACAGGCGCGATTGGCTTCCGCAGCTGACAGGCTAAACGGTTCGGCTATTTGTACCCTACAGGTATGTTGCCCTCACAATGCACCAAGTGTTTACGCGATGTCTAAAATCCATTTGCCCGGCATGTTATATTTGCCGAAGAGCGCTTTTTGCCCAGTATATCATGCTGTGTATTATCCTAATATTTGCATATGACTGTCAAAGTAAACCCCAGTTTAATCGCCTGATTTATTGTCAATTATCACGAGACTAGATGAATTTATTTACGTCGTGCATTTTCGCGACATCTTTTTCAACTGCAAACGATCATTGCCTATTAATGATTGTATGACGTCAATAACTTTTTTGCTAGTCTCATGATCTTTGCCTTGTTCAAATTACTTGCGGGAAAGGAATGTTTCAACTTTGTCAAATGTCTTACCTAATAGGCTCTATTTTATTTTTTGAAGTAATGGTATACTCTAGTAAAAATGTGATTGCTACCGGCCATTTGTGCTTAAAAACTTCAATCAGATTTCGTTCGTCCTAATAAATAAAGACTTTTTGTTTGAATAAAACGTACAATTTAAAACCCGCTGCGGCTAGCACAAAACAAGCATAGGAGTAAGCACACAAAAGGGGAATCCAGTCAGTTGAGGAGCAGTCATGGCGCATTTGCCGCTATCACAGGCCTGACTTTCCAAAACGGCTCGTGAATGAAAGCATTACTTAATGGCTTTCATTCCAAGTGAATGCCTTATGAACACGAGACACAAACGTTTCTATAGAATTTGGGCTGGTGACGACTAATAAGTTAATAGTGGCCATTACAGCCTCCGCTATCTTCTTCGGCACGCGCTTTTGCTTATATTCCTGGTTGCTTCGCGACCATCTGCGAAGGCCCTACGCTGAGCTTCAAGGCAAATGGATTAAAGATATCACATGACTTGCGTGGTAGAGAAGTAAATCGTTGCTCAGGAACTAGAGGACTACAATGGAGACCAGTCCGGTCATGCCAGCCGAGCAAAAAACCTCCAGTCTCTACGATTTCTGCACTTGTGTGTTCACGTCAGATTAACCCA